AAAACAAAACAAATGAGACCAATGCCTACATTGAGCAAGGGCATGGTGGCCACAACAAGGAGTGCTTGAGTTTTCGAGAGAGGGCCCATCTACTCAAGGGAAATGTTATGCATATCCTAGTATTTTTAATTGGAACTTGACATTTGCAAAGAGAGAGAGAGAGGGATGGAGAGCGAGAGAAATGTATTATTTTCTCTTCACATGAGAGCGGCTGAGAAATATAGTTCGCTAAAAAGGGAATAAAATGGCCTGATTTTCTTTTTTTCCCAACATCGTACTAACCTACATCAACAAAATGTATAAAAATGGGTCTATGCTTGTGTTTTCAGACCAGGCACACACACACATATACTTGTGAGAATAAACACAGATACACATATGTTGTGTACATTCACACCTTCCTTCTTGTGTTGTTGTGGCATTTCATTTTCAATGAAATTTCCGTTGTCATCATGGTGTAGAAATGTATATTAGTTTCATTTGATTGGATGGAAAAGCAATCATCAAAATGAGAGTTGGGTTTCATCAGGGCTACAGGGTTTCGAAAATATGCTCATATTGTGTGTGTAGAATAAATTTTCGTGGTGCAAATTTTTATGAATGAAAATTACAGAACGGTTTATTTTTCGATTATTCTGGATGAAAAACTTTTTGGAATTTTGCGATTTTGAATACAGATTTTGAGTGAAGATTTTTAACCTAGGTCACTCTTCTTATTACCTCTCTTTGGTATTGTTATATATTACTAGTTAATGGAGAATAATGCTTTTGAGCACATATAGAGAATAGGCCTATTCAGAACCAACAACAGTTGGGCTAAGAGAAGATCGTTAGTGAAACACACGATTATTAAGGAACAGAATTTGTGCTCAGGGATCAAGGGGATCTTCTTAAAAAAATGTGAAATAAATGTTCCAGAGAGTTGCATAAACTGAAAAATGGTATAAAACCTGTTTTATAAAATATTTCAATGTTTGAATTTAGGGACGAAAAATACGAAACATTTTAAGGGATTGAAACCAATTTAATAGTGTATCGATTTACTATGTACCAAGTTGGGGCCAAATCGGGTACCCCATTGAATTCAGACCTGTCACGTTCCAGAATTCGCAGTTCAAATATATAAGAGTGAACCCTTAGATAATGGCGCAGAACATTAGTACAGGCTATGGTATGAAAGTCAAAGCTTTATTAAAAACCTTTTATGAAGGTATTTGCTCTCGAAGTATAGTTTACTTATCCAGAAGAGGTGTTACTGGTTATTAAACCGCATAGTATTGTCTATAAATGTCAAAGTCCCCACATCTTATCGATATACATAAGGTATCGGCTACAGAGAGATAGACAGACCCTAGGTCTCTTTGGACCAAATCCGTTTCACGACAATTGGAGTCGATTTATCGATGTCCCGCCGTCCGTCTGTCTGCCTGGTGCGCATGATAACTCTCGAAGGGAATATGCGATTTGATCCAAACTTGGTACATCGTAATATTATGATCAGACATAGTTCGAATTCGATGATGGGCAATATCGGTCCACTTCATCGGGTACCTCCCCCACAAAAGATCGAAGTTTAAAAAAATATATTTTACTGCACAGAAAGAGAAATGATTATCCGATTTTGCTTCAACTTTGCAAATCCAAATATTTGCATCAGTGCTAGGTCAGGTGCGAAAAGGGACAATATCGGTCCACTCCATCAAGTACCTCCCCCACAAAGGGTCAACGTTTTGAATAACCAAAACGATTATAAAATGCGAAATAAGCATCCGGTTTTGTTCATATTTCACACAACCTATTACCACACTAGATTTGATGTGAAGATAGGATATAATGGTCCACTCCTTTTGTTAGCTCCCCCACAAAGGGTAAAATTTTTGAATATCTATGAAGCTCATAAAACTCGAAATTAAGATTCGATTCCATTCAGATTTGGTACATTTCGATATTTTCATCAAAAAAAGATCTGTTTTAAAGATGGTAGAAATCGGACCATTTCTTTTGGTACCTTCTCCACATAGGGTTCAAGATCTTGAAAAACGAAATTTTCAAAGAAAGCGAAATAAGCTTCTGTTATAAAGATATAAAGATGATGAAAATGGAATACTTCGGTCGATTATATCTGGCACCTCACGCACATTTTAACATTTTCTAAAACTTATCACATGCTCCATATAAAGAGAAGGAAGTAACTAATATGGTCCAAACCTGGCACGTCGCAATATTTATATCATATTTATTTAGATCCGATACGAAATGACTCATTCCTTCGGAACATACTCTATCAAGGATCATATATTTGAATAATCATAACAGAAGTAAAAATATATTTACATAATTACATAACCTTTTTAACAAAGACCTTAATTAAAGAACTACCTTTGTATGGAGTCTATAGCAAATGCTAGACCTATATAGAGACGTTTTTCAAGAAGAAATTCTACTTAAAAAGAACTCTAAATATCAAATTCAAAATGCCGAGAATCATAAGGTACTTTGTACGGTGTCCAGGGACGCACGCAGGATGGGGCCTTGAGTAAGGGTGCTCTGCGAAATGCCTCGGTTTCTGACATGCTCTGTTTTTATATAGAAAGGCACATTTTTCCAGCTGTGTCCCACCGGATTTGTTTCGAAATGTGTACTGTCCTTATGGGAACTATACCAACTAGTGAACCTACATCGAGAACTTTTCAAATGAAAACCCAAAATGTAGAACTGCAGCTGATTCAGGTGGAAAATATGGCTGAAAACTTCAAACATTGAAAATTGGGAGGTATAGCTATGTAAGGGCAAATGGAGCTCATTTTCGGAACCCATCTTGGGAAACACAATACTAATTTTTGTGACGAATTTTGGATACCTTCTACAAATAATGTAGGAATCTCTCTTGACTACAGGCAGTTGATGGACATTGTTAAATCGGTTAAGAATATTTCGAGATATTGCAAACAGAATGACAAATTGAATATTCCATCCATTTTATGGTGGAGGATATAAAAACATATTGCAGCCAATAAAATATTTCCATGGAGCCTTCTATAGATGGGGAACATTCAAGAGAAGACCTTCGAAATTTGCTTTGCAAGAAAGATACAACTGTGATTCTTTGATAATGGAATGATTAATATTCAAAGAACTGTTGTTTCCAATTAATATTATCATTAACAAAAATCCATTGGGTCTAACATATTTTACCTCTCTTCTATTTTCAGATATAATTCACTCGAGAAAAATCTCCAGTGAAACATAATATATCTCCTATTAAAATAAAAGAAAAGCAAACAACCAAAACAAGTTTATTTCTCATTCGAATTTACCTGTGACATTTGCAAAGCAAAAAAAAAAACAAACGAGAAAAACCCCAACATCACAACAATAACAAAAGTGTCATTCCTTTTTCAATTCAATTCAACTCAAAAAGAAAAACAACAAGAAATCGAAAATGTAAACAAAAACCGAAATACCACCCAAAATTCTCTCTCACGCATTTTTTTTCGAAATCAGCTGTGAAGTGAAGAAAAAGTGTAAAAAAAAAGAGCAAAAGAAAGAAAAGGGGACAACAAAAACATAAACAAATCTTTCATTATCAGTAGGCCACCAATACATCTATCCGTCAACCAAACATAAACGAGAAATCCAGCAGAGGAAGAGTTGAAAATAAAGAGAAAAATCTGCGCTGTAAAATATATCACAAAAAAGTAACAACAAACAAAAATCACAACAAATACATCAGCTGTTCTGGTAAAACATTGCCATTAACTCTTGGACTCATCTAGTACTCAATGAAAGTTATTCTCATAGTGTCTCTCTCTCTCTCTTTACTACAATCTCAACTCATCATTCTGTGAAAAGTTAACAAGTTATAACTCAAAGAGTGTGTTTTATGTAACAGCAAAACTCTCTCCATTTCCATATATTTTGGAGCAGGCGCCAACAAGAGAGAAAGAGAGTGTGCCATCATCATCACTGTCAGCAGCTGAGGCAGGAACAACGACAACAACAACAGCAACAGCCACCAATGTTCTGTGACAGGATAACGATTACTTTCGAACACAGTGCGGGTGTGTTTGTCAGTTAGCGCCTGAGCAGGCCAGCGAGTGATACCGTTATGTGTTGTGAATACCACTGCTACCACGACTACTCTCCCCGAAATTACTCTGTGTTCTGTTCCCACTCTGTCACTATCTATCGGGCGTTGTGTTTGTGTCTCTCGCGACTCTCGCTCTACTCTGTTCGAAGATAGGCATTTATGTAGTAGGTACCACCCGTGAATTTGCCAACGTGTTCGTGTTTGTGTTCATGTGTCTCTGTGTGTGTGTGCGTGTGTGAGAGTGTTTACATGTAATGCCCAGTTGAAGGGATACCATCTGCGATGAGAGTGCATTTCCGCTTTTCTAACGTAACAGAGCAGTCATTCGTTTGAACGGCGGCAGTCAACGCAAGCGTCCATATTAGATTGTTCCGTCTTTCGTCGGTAGGTCGGTCGGTTGGTCCTTTGCTCGCTCGCTCGTTCCTTCGTTTGTTAGTCAATGAATTATTATCCCAGTACAATGTTGTGATTTGTTTTTTTTTTTTTCTCTGCTGTCGTTGTAATTCGCCCGTTCGCTATACCGAGAAGAAGAAGAAGCAAAAGAATAAACAAAAAATAAAGAAGAAAAGCAAAAAAAAAAAAAAAATATTCCAAACAAAAAAACAAGAGAAATCCCAAAGAAAATAAATTCCCTACCACTCACTCTTACTGTTGTTCAAGCTGCCCGAACGCTACCATTGAGGATATTTGCCCAACAATTTGAAAACAAACAACAACAACAAAAACAACCTCAAATATTTACCTTGACCAACAATCAACACTAATTACTCCTCCCCCATGTCTTGCATTGAGAGACCAGCAACATCGAAATCCTAAGATTCGCCTCTCCCACCCCCACCCTCCCCAAAACTGCAAAGAGAATTCGGCGGCGAGAGACGAGGACGAGAACGAGGTGATTCTCGGTAGTTTTCTTTTTTGTTTTCCAAATTCTCAACAACACTGGCAACATACAATCCTCAAAAGTTAGCAAACACGACGACGTCGTTTGCGTCGCTGACGCTACGGCTGCCCCTGCTGCTCAGCGTTCTGTTCCCCGTGCAGCCGGCAGCACCAACGTCGTCGTCGTCACCCCAGCCAGCGCATCGGCATCGGAACACTCGGAGAGTCCGAGTAGCAACACCAACACCAGCATCATTCAGACTTCGGCAGCCATACACAAACATAACAGTAACGACGACGACAACATCAACATCTCGCCCACTCCCACCCCCATTCCCAGCAACAAGACCACCAACGCCGCACAACCCACCACCTGCACAACAGCAGCAACAGCAACACCAGGTTCCGTATCCATCTCAACAGCAGCAGCAACAACTCAAGCATCCGTCCCCACCACCTGCCCCCCATCTGCAGGAGCGACAACAACAAAAGCATCCAAAAATAAGAGAACCACAAGATTTGCCACTGAAAAGCGAGACGCCAGCGACGATAATAACATTACACCACTGGAACCCATTGTCGTCACCTGCTCACCCTCACCCACAGCCGCAACAACTGCCAGCAACAGCAACACCGCCGTCGTCGCCGCCGCCGCCGTCATTGCCGCCTCCTCGGCCAGCACGAGTAAACGCTCGCCAACGTTTACAGCTGTTACATCTCCCGGCCAGCAACAGAGCTCTGTTAGCCATCAACAGAGCCATAACACCCCCACAACAGAGGCTGTGTGTATCCTCGGAGGCGGTGGCGGCGTAGGCCCACTTCCGAAATCGGTCACTGCATCGTATCTGCGCTGTGCAACGTGTGACGACTTGAGGAGGCAGCAATATCCTCCCCGTTATTCTCTGAGTGGTGCTGGTGGTGGCACGACCAGGGGTGGCAAGGCATCATCATCATCGTCGGCATTTGCTGCAACCAACAACACGTCTACGTGCCGAGAGTGCGCTGTTGCTGCAGCTGCAGTGTCGACATCATCATCGTCGGCTGCTGTCGCTGGCGCTGGTGCTGGTGCTGCTGCTTCCGGAGACTATCAACATCACCAAAATAATCGCCCTGTGTGCACGGACAATAATATGAGGAGTGGCAGTTCGGAATTACTACTCGAGCAGCAACAACAAGAGTTACGGTTACGTAAACTACGAGAACTGGCTCCGAAAAAGAAAAATGGTAACCGGCGCTTTCGTTCGTGGCGCGAACGTGCCCGCTTTTACGCTACCTCCACACTCGCCTTCTTCTCGGTGACCGCCGGTGCCTCGCTACTGTTCCTCGTGCCCCTCTACGTCGATCCGGCGATATCGACCCTCAGCCACGACTTCATCGAGAATCCCACGCTCTGCACCACATCGCGCCGCGAAGATCTCGTCGGCATCTTCAACTGCTCGTGGAGCTCGTGCCGCGAGGGCTGCACCTCCGATCTATACAAGTGTGTTCATATCTATGTGACGTTTATCGAGGACAATATCACGATACCCGAGAACATGACCGACTACACGAACTACACGGCCGACTGGACGCAGTCGGACGAGGCGACGCTGCTCGTCAACATCAAGGGCTGCGGCTATCCGCCCACGGTGACGTGCAAAACGTTCAATGCATTTTACGGCGTCGAGGGCGCCATCTATCCATGCTACTATTCGCGCAAAAACAAAACGGTCGTTCTCACGTCGTACAGTCACGACGACCAGGTCCACGTGATTGTCCACTTCTTCGCCGTGCCATTTGTGATAACACTGATCTCATCGATAGCTTTGTGCATCATGCACTGTGACTGCCGCTGCAAAAAGGATCGCAGCCATCGGCGCAATCGGCCGCAGTGCCGAAGGCCGCGAATTGATAATTTAAGGTAAGTTGGAGGTGTTTCGTTTACGTTGTTCTTGTTGTTATTATACCAATGGGAGCGGGAAAAATTAATAAGTGAATGTGAAATTAGAAATTCCAAGATTGGAGTTACGGACTTTTGGTAAATGTTGAAAAATATCGGAGTTTTTCAATTGAACATCAAATTTTGAAATAAGAAAATGAAGGGTTAAAAGGTATTTATTTCTAATATAAAATATATTGTAGAAATAAATGGTCAGCTGACAATTATTGAAAAATACAGTTTCAACCTCCTGAGGAAAATTTTCCATTTTTGGATTTATTTCATCAGATATGTTATAAATCGGAAATATATCGCGAGTGTTCATACTTCCTTGCGATAAAAATACGTTAGGTCCTGACTTCATTTAAGACCCCTCTCACGGTAAAGTGCTGAAATAAAATAACTTTAATGTAAACGTTCATAAAAAAGTACCATTTGGTTTTTGATATTCTAAATATTCCACCACAATATCCACTCAAACCAGCCGTATTTTGAATTTTTAGATTTTGAAGGTGGCATCTCTTCATGAATAAAAGTTACAAATGTGAGGCATCGTGTGGCTATAGCTCCACATATTCATAAGCCTTCTTATTTCTTACCGAATAAGCTGCAGTGTTTGCTGTGGCCCTTTGAATTTTAAAGCTTATAAACACGGTAAATAATTTAGAAGAGGGTAGGAGGATTTGTCTCAATATTGCAGTCGAGTGAAAATCATGAGTAGCCATGATGATAAGCGCACCAAAGCAAGTTTATAAATAACTCTAAATCCTTTCAACATAAATTAATGTTTAAAAAAATAATATTAAAAACTGGGATACCTTTAGAAAATTTTCTCGAGCTAAGAAATAAAGACAGTTCTCCTTGTACCTTTCATTTACAACGTTTAAAATATTGTTTATAGAAAAACTGGCTTGTGCCCCTACTTCGTCAGCAAAAGGCCCACCTTAATATTTAATGTTTGCCTTTTGCAGCAAAATGTCTTCCAGAACTTTTAATTTTGAAGTTTAGCGAGGAGGATATTAGTAAAACTATTGAACAATGGACTCACATCCAATTTTTCTGTCCAAAATTATTTCAACGTCTCCGTTAGAATGTCAGCTCTATCCCCTTACTCAATCCTAAATTTAATAAGACTTAGTAGTCATATCCAAAATCAACTACATCTCTCCATCCTAGACAACAACAGTTATCCAAAATTTATAACCTTTGGTACTTTCAAACAATTATAGTATACATTTGCAAAACCAGCTCCTTCTCCCAAGCACAGACACCAACAGTGACATCCATAGCACATTTTAGGATTTCAGCTCTTTTCCTTCACCCATTCAAAATTTAGTACTTTTCGTATAATTATAGTACACTTTTCCAAAACCATCTCCATATCTCAATGCCAGATACCAACAGACATATCAACATCAAATTTCGGCTTTTCAGGATTTCAGATCTATTTCTTCGACCAATACCAAGTTAAGTACTATTTAGCATTTTTCGAACTATTATAGTACACATTTCCAAATTCAGTACTACACAGTTCTTTATAGCACAACAGGGACCTCAGGGATTCCAGCCCCATTCCTTTACCCAATACCAAATTTAGTACTATTTAGTACTTTCGTAAAATTATAGTACACATTTCCAAAAACAACCTCCATATCTCAATTCCAGATACCAACAGAATGCTCGATACCAAAATTTGAGTATTCCAGCTTTATCCTTTCAACCAATTCCCAATTTAGTATCACTTAGTACTTTTCGGACAATCATATTACACATTTCCAAAACCAGCTCCATCTCTGAACCACAGACACCAACAGTGACATTTAAATCAAATTTCAGTTACCTCCTTTCACCCAATGCCAAATTTAGTACTATTTAGTACTTTTCGCAAAATTAAAGTACATATTTCCAAACCCCCCTACACAACTCAATCATAGACACCAATAGTTATAGCAATATACAATTTCACGACTTCAACTCTATCCCGCCAAATCTCAAACAAATTTTAATCTCTATTCCCAATATCAAATATAGGACCACTCAGTACTTTTCTCATAATTATATTACACATATCCGAAACCACCTCCAATACCAAATTTCAGATTTCAAGCACTATCTGTTCACCCAATACCAAATTGTAGCGAATATAGTAATATGTTGTTGTTGCAAAATGGTCAGGCTTAATCCCTTTATTGTTGTTTTTATCAGTTCTCTTACCCCTTACCCCTTGGTAAACATTACAATCGTTCTCCACTTATAAACAAACGTTTTTTGTTTGTATAAAAACAACAATAAAGGGATTAAGCCTGACCATTTTGCAACCACAAAATACTATGGCATCCCTTACAAACAAGCCAACACTGTTCTAAATATAGTAATATTTATAAATGTTTATGAACTTGTACTTATTACTATATTCGAAAACCATCTCTTTATCACAAACCATCGACAAAGACGTCAACACAAAATTTCCAAATTCCAGCTTCTCTGTTCACCCTAAACCAAACTTTTCCAAATTTAGTACGATTGTACAGTTTGTGCACTTCGTTCACATTTCCAAAACCAACGAACGAATAGAGCTAAAAACTGAAAAATGAGAATCCAGGTTGGAAAGTTATCAAACTTACTTTCCAACCTGGATTCTCATACCAAATTTCAGTTTTTCAGTTTTTAGCTCTATTCGTTCATATAATACCACATGGTACCATTTTAGAGGTTTAGTACCATTTTAAAACTTTCCGTAACCCTAAATTTCGAATTTTCAAAAATTCTTTGGTACATCTATGCTGTACTCCATCAGTGACTCTCATTCAACTCTCATTCATCTCTCTCTCATTCATTCTATCTCATTCCGTTTGTTCAATACAATCCTTAGTACAGATATTCAATGTTCTGCCACCGGAGATAGAACCCATTATGAACTACATATACAAATTTTTAAGCAAAATTCCGAATTTCGGGAGGTTCCATTATATGAGGGCTATACGAAAGCATGGACCTATATGTACTCATATAATGTTCTGCCACCGGAACTGGAATCCATTACGAACTACAAATACCATTTTTTAGATAAATCCGTGAAAAAATAGATTGTGAAAATCATCAAAATATCGAATATCGGGAAGTACCGTTATATGGGGGCTATTTTTTGATACCCTACACCACTTTGCATATTTTGTAGACCTTCACATAACATATAAAAGTTTTCATGGCGAATTTGTGAGAATTAAATCATACCAGCTATGATTATAATTATAATTTAAATTCCAAAGGACTAAATTTGCCGGGACATTTGTATCTTTCGGGCTTGTATTACCCATTTAGTGCATAATTAACTTGAAATCGGATAAAAATATAAATGGGAGCAATCACCAAATCTGAACTGCTCGCGATAAAATTATCAAAGATATTTCTGAGCTGTATTTGATATATTTCCCTGAATATTGTTATTACGGACTGCATATTACGGCTGTGGGGAACAAATATAACAAATCGGATGAACAATATATATGGGAGCTATAGCCATATCTAAACTGATTTTCACCAAATTTGACGTACTTGTTTCTATGCTCAATTTGGTGGCAATTGCCAAATTCCACCCCATTTAGGCTAATATTACACGTATGGTGCACAATAAAGGGCAAATCGGACGAAGTTGTATGTGGGAGCTATATCCAAATCTGAGCCGATCTCCATAAAATTTAGCAAAGGTATTTATGAGCTTTATTTGATACATTTCCCCAAACATCGCTGTTACAGAGTGCATATTACGGCTGCGGAGAACAAAAATAGCAAATCGAATGAACAATATGGGAGCTTAAGCTATATTTGAACCGATTTCGATCAAATCAAATTTGTCATACTTATTTTAGGGTCTAATTTGGTATGTTGTGCAAAATTCCATACAATATGGTCTGATATTACACGTTTGGTGCACAATAAAAAGCAAATCGGTCGAAGATGTATATGAGAGCTATATCTAAATTTTGACCGATTATATCCAATTTCAATGGAGGTCGACCTTGTGCCAAAGAAATTATTTGTGCGAAATTTCATCTGGATCGGGCAGTAAATTCGACCTGTACTTTGTTTACAAAAATACATGGACAGACGGACGGACGGACATGCATATATCGACTCAGAATGTGATTCTATGCAGATCATCAAAAGGAACTATGGGTCTATCTCGTTCCCTTTTGCCGGTTACAAACAAATGCACAAAGACCACCTTGTGGTTTAGGGTATAAAAATGTATCAACCAAAATCCAGTTTTGGGGGATTTATCCTTATATACGCGTGAGTCGGCTCTCAAGAAGAACGTAGGAAGATTTATCCCTATATTGTTCCCCAGTGATAGGCATGAGAAGCCAAGAATATAAGCGCAACAAAAAAAATATTAGTTACTCTAGTATTCCTTTCAGAAAAGCTCCTCGAGCTAAGGAATAGAATTAGGTAATGTTTTATGTTCCCATCCTTCCTGCTGCGCCAGAATAAGCTCTAAGGCTCTCTATATCGAGTTAACTTAATTAGTCCACACAATTTCCAAAAATTAGAATTCTCCATTAACACTTGACGAATAACTGTCTGAACATAAAAGAAAAGGTTTTTTAGACTCCTGAAAGTACAACAACATTTTAGGCGGACTAAGACTAAGCTGGTCAACTCCTTACCCCTGTTGTATCTCAATTCCAGATACCAACAGAACGCTCGATATCAAAATTTGAGTATTCCAGCTTTGTCCCAATTTAGTATCACTTAGTACTCTTCGTATTTAGTACTTGCACAAAGACATAATACCCTGCCCACCTTCTGGTGTAGGGTATAACAAAAATAATTTGTTTTGTTGTCGTTCCGGTAGAAATCCAAAATCCAATTGATATCTACGGCAAGGGTGTATGGCGTTATGGTATGTCACAAATAATCAATTACATTATAGCCCATAAGATTAGTTTGGGCAGCTGTTTTATATGATTATGGTTAGGGCA